GGGGGAAAATTAGTTCACGGGGAAAGATTAGTTCACAGAGAATGATTAGTTCAGGGGGAAAAGTAGTTCACGGGGAAAGATTAGTTCACAGAGTATGATTCGTTCACAACAAAAGATTAGTTCACAGCGAAAGATTAGTTCACAGTGATTAGTTCACAGTGAAAGATTAGTTCGCAGAGTGTGATTTGTGAGTGATTCGTGAGTTCAATATGAATAAATATTTAATATGACTCGGTAGTCGCGAGTCACGAATCATATGAAAGATTCGTTCATGTTGAAGGAATCACTCGCGAATGACACATCACTAATAGCCAGTGGCACCCGTGAAGGTGATTGTTAATTCAAACATCGTGGCGAACTCTGTTGCTCACCTCTGTCATCCAACTTTGGGATGATGACGTGAGCGGGAATGGAGAAACCATTGTGGACAGAGGCCTTTACATTGAGGTTATACTGTTCAGGACCAATGCAGACTTCTGCCTCGGTCTCTCCACTGTTCTTCCACAGAGACTCGCTCTTGTCTTTCTGCCACCACTGCACTGTGTAACCAGTGATTGTCACAGTGTCTGCTGAGCCAGGAACATCCTCAGGACACAGCACATTTTAGAATGTTTAAGACAAGATTTGTAGTTTGTTCACCATGATGTTATTTGAGGAGTATACAGTGCACTCAGTAACAGGGTCTGTTTAATATAACTCAGTTGTACTGTTTTGTTTTGGTTTTTTTTTTGGTAACATAGCATTCAGCCTGTCTTGTAGGGACAGACTGACCTCTCTGTGTCGGTGAAATTCTTTCCTTATAAATAAATATTTCTGTGATGTTCTCTGTGTACATGAGGTTAGGAGAACAGCTGGGTCTGGATTTTGTGTTTACATCTGTTTGTGCTGCTACTTGTGCTCCACGTCTTGTCTGTCATCTACTGCGGTACGTTTCATTTTCTCTCTCCATTTCCATTTTCAGCATGAGAAACTTTTCTCTTTTTTTTAAATGTAACAGTTTTTCTGGAAGTGTACAAATATTTTTAAAATGAAGTTTGTAAACTGTAATTTAATAAATTGTAATGTTCAGAATTCAAGGTCCAAAAAAGGAAATGTTCATTTGTGCTGACTCCAACCTCATCAAAGTATTTCTACATGCTTTATTCTTCTTGACAAAACCTACATGTATATGTTAATTATGCTTATTCTAATAAAACATGTAATAATAGTACTGCCAATATCACACATAAATGTCACATGGGTTATAGTAAACATTATAAACATTCTTACCGGAGTCCACAGCAGAGTGACGTTACGGCTGAGGGAGTCATTCATTGAGATTATCCTTCTCCATAAGTTTACTGTCACAAATGGCACTGAGAAAAACCCATTAGCATTATTTTGAACCAAACAGAAGACCTGCATCACTTCCACTGCATACCTACATACATATTTATATACATATATACGCACACACATATACATACTGTACATTGTATTATATGTATATATGTATACGCACAAATATACATAAATGTGTGTATATACTGTATATTTATACATATGTTTGTATGTATATTTGTATATTCTTTTCAAACCTTACATTTCTTTAACCTCAACTCTACTATTCACAACCCAAGAAGACTGTAATCAAAATAATCTGAGCTCACATGTTTTAAATTCAGTTTGTGTCCATTTTCCCCAGAGCCTTCCATTGACAGAGCAGCGTAGGCTAACAGAGTAGCCAGTATTGGGAAGCAGATGTTCCACCTTGTATTTACAAGGACAGTCCACACTTCTGCAATGCACCTTCAACAAACACACAGACAGAGATGTTATCTGTGGATGCGTGGTTATTTTAGTTTAAATTGACTGAACTCACCTGTGTGGCTGGTCCTGTGTTGTTGCTGATCTCGCAGACCAGGTCTAGTTCATTCAGGTTCCCCTGGATGATCCAGGACAGTGTGGTGTTTGTGGCTCCTGGGCTCACACTGTGCCATTTTACAACTGGAAACACTAAAGGTGACATAAAGATGTATTAATAAAAGCTTATATTAAACCAAGGTCAAAATTAATCATAAAAGACAATAACAGACTGCAGAGATTATTAAGATTAAATGCTCGTGTATCTTGTATTTCAGTTAAAAAAAAAACAAAATGTGAGAATTAGGTGAAGAGTTTTTTTGTGTGCAAAATATTATACTCCCATCTTCCATCCCATACTCTCTTTTATTCAAGAGTTTGGTTATGAATGGTTAAAAAACACAGCTTAAAGGTCCAGAAATAGGCAGGTCATGGGTTATATGTGGATTACCAACCACCATTTAACGACATCTGGTTTGGAGTATTGCCCTGTGAGCTCTGATCACTGCTTTGTGCAACATATGATTCAGATTTTGAAACCTTTTTTGTGTGAATGTATGAAAATTAAAAAGTTGGTTGATAAAGTTCAGTAATGTGGTATTAAAAACGATATATATAATAATATATGGGAAAGCAAATTTAATATAAATAATTTTGTCCTTTGCTGCATATGGTAACGGATGCACCAAGATCCTTAAATATTTGAACACAGTGCAGCCTTTTACCTCGGTCAGTGATATTGAAGCTGTAAGTGTCTGCTTCCTCTCCAAGACTGTTATTCACTTTTAGAGTGATGTTGTATTCTCTCAACTCTGGTATGACTGAGAAATTACAGGGCGATCGTTCACAGCTGATTGGACCCTGGTCGGAATTCCTGTGTTTTAGAAAAATATATAAAATTTCTAAAGACATGCAGCTAAACTGTGTTCGTCAGTGATGTCGTTTATTATGTAGCAAAGCAGCATGTGATTGTTATGTTATAATACATGGACATAAACACAGGCTGTACGTTGTTATTGTGTGTATTACTTACTCCTTGTGGAGGATGAGTGTTGATTTGTTGGGCTTGCTTGGAACTCTGCCTGGATCCCAGGTGCAGGTGACAGTTGACAGGTCAGTCGTGAAACAGCTGAGGTTCCTGGGCTTCTGTGGAGGAACTGCACAATCCACAATAAACCTCATGCATATAAACATGTAAAAATGTAAACATGAATAGCAGTTCATACTCACAACCGACATAGTTCCAGACACGTTTTTGGTGGCCTGTTGAATCAGTACAAGTCAGTGTATGCATGCCTCTTTTTGGAATTTGCAGATTCTCTACAGTGATGGCCTTCGCTCTGGCTCCAATGCTGAGAAGAGAGTATTTTGTAGCATCTATAGATATGTTTGTTATATTGCCTCCAGCTGGAGGAACACAGCAGTATGTTGCAGTGCTGCCCTCTCTCAGAACCGCATCACACGGGAACACCTTGATTTCATCCCCTTCCTTAGCACCTGCAAAACATATTTACACTGTGGTGCAACAATCATGATGTGATACATAAATATATATAGGTGTGTTGGGAACAATTTTCTCTGTTTAGGCTGATTGGTTTCAATCAGATATCTATCTGAAATCTAGATAGACAGACAGACAGACCGATAGATAGATAGACAGATAGATAGATAGATAGATAGATAGATAGATAGATAGATAGATAGATAGATAGATAGATAGATAGACAGACAGCGATAGACAGGGAAATTCAACATAACCGATGGTTTGAAAACTGGTGACTGTGGGCAAGGATGTTGGAGAAATATTTGGCCCCTCTATGAATATTGTTACCCCTTGATGCCCCCTTACTCAGAAAAATCCTAGCTCAATCACTGGGCTTAATGTTATAATGTGAGAGCTAGTCTGAGCATAAATAATGTGTTTAAAACAAACCATTAATTCATACTAAAGATAAAAAATACGTCTTAATTTTCTTTGCATTAAGTATTGACATTACCTCTTTGGTAAATGTGCTATGCTGGTGGTACACGTACCCATTGTGGTCTGCTAGCATGACCGTGGTTGTCTCTAGGATTAGAGCTGTATATCAGGTAGTACACGGTTTGAGAACTACTCTTCCATGTCAAAAACCTATTGTATAGCACTTTTAAATGCTTGCCTAATTGTGGAAAGTGCTATAGAAATGTTGCCTTATTTATTTTACTTTCATTAATTTACAACAGCAGCTTTAATCTCACCTGGTATTGTTGCCCATTGGCTCCAGGGA